ACTGTTTGCATTAAGTAGTTTATTTCATTTTTAACAGGCCACTTATGTATTCAAAGTTGCTTTAAAGAGTGTATCATGTCAGTTCTCTGCTAGGTCTATCGTTTCTGTCAATACTAGAGGCAAAGCAGACATAGCATTTCTTTTCAACTCACTAAAAACACACACCATCAATAACTCACTGCAGATTGTAAGTCTATCTTTCACTCACATCATAAATTGCATGTCAGCCTTTAAAAGCAGCTGGAACAGATCACAGCTTAAAGTACCAACTGCTGATATATATACATTTTTAAATCACATTACAGAACTCTACCTTTGATCATGATCACAAAGAGAACACAGGAACTTATTATTTGCTTCATGCAGCTAACCAAGAAGAAAATACTGTGTCTATTCTTTGTGATTACACAGTGTTAGCTAACATATCAGTATAGCTGCCCAACTTTTTTTAGCTAATGCAGGAAAAGGAAATAAGAGAAAAAAGATGCTCCCCCTGCGCCCCCCCCCCCCAAAAAAAAAAAAAAAAGTTTAACTGTATCAGAAGAGACAGAAATTTCCCCAAGAGAGAAGCCAAATTCTTTTAACTTATGTTGCTTCTTGATGCAAAAGCAAATGTGAAAAAAACTGATATACTGGATAACGAAAAAAAGCCACTACCGCAATCAGTTGTTCTCTGACAGAGTGGAAGAAGTAGTAATCATTTCACTAGAATGAAAACAAAAAATGTAGAACTTCTACATCTTTGAAAAAATATTACAACTATAACATGTTCCATGCAACCCATAATAATAATCTATAAAATAAAAACCTGCATGAATTGATGCTGCAGGGAAGGTCTCATCAGTCATGCTAGCAAAGGAGAGAGGAACACCACAGCTGTCAGGCATTATGGCTTCTTCATCCACATACACATGAAATGCTTTGCACTATAGATACCCCTTGGGTTAAGATAACATAACATTTTCTCCTTAAGGTTATTACATGAAAAGCATTTAGGACAGAGCAATGAAATTCCACCAAACACTGCAGGCTCAAAAAATCCTGGGCAAGTCAGCCACTCCACTCAAGTTATCAGTCTTCCTGCTTGCTCTGAGACAAACCCAGGTGATACGAATATAAAGGAAGCCCTGACAAGCACGCTACGGTGTAGAGAGGGAGATAGACAAAGTCTGGCTGGAGGAAACAACAGAACCCATGTGAAGAAGAGGAGGAAGATCCATAGGAAGTGAGTATATGCTACTACGCATAGAAAGGCAGAGCAAAATGCACCATGGTCCCCAATTGTCCATATGTAGTAAGATAGACTGTGGGAAGAGCAAGAAAATCCTATAAATTTCTAGCGGTCTGGCTCAAAGGATGAGCCTGCCCTGAATTTCAAGGAGCACTGGAAGAAACATGAAAACCATTTTGTTTCTGCAGTGCTGTTTTCTACATCACTAAGATATAAAACAGTACTCCTCTGAGCTATAAGCTCCCTTTCATTCATTTGTATGTTGGATGGTTATTCAGAGGAATGGCAGCTTTTACTTCAACAGTACAGATAAAAGTATCACACTGAAATTTAAATGTCAAAGAATACATACTCAAATGTCAAATACCAACAGACAAATGCCAACAGAGAAATGTCAGAAACACTCCCTTGTCTCTCACTGGATATAACTATATCTGCACAAACGCAGGCCATAGCACGATATGTAAAAGCAAGAGTTTTTCTGCAGTTCCTCTGGGACTGAAACACTGCTGGTTTCAAAAAAATCAGTATCTGGCAGCAATCTGGTTGCATTACTCCAAGTTTCTGACCCAAGCAACACATACAGCTTAAATGATCCCTGTTCTGCAAGGTGATGAATGGTATTTACAGATGCAACAGTACATCCAAGAGAGGTAAGTAGCGCAAGGAATTTGTATTGCAGTCAAATCCCACTGCTGAATTTGTTAATTCCTCACTAGATGAAAGACCCTTACACAATGACTTTCCATGTCAGTGCTTCTGGTGCTTTCCAGGTATAATAGTAACACCTGGAAGTTGGAGGGGACCTGCAGACAGCTTCTTCTAGGAACACGATAAAAATTGGCTAATAAGGACAAGCACATACAATATCTTGATACCTTCTAAATTGTTTGCATTTTAGAATGCCAGGATTATTAACCTGTAAGTACATTTCAGAAGTTACTGAATAAATCTGGGACCCAAACAGAGCTGACTGCAAATAAAATTTGGACACTCAAGAAATCTGAGTACTTTTTCAAATGTTGCTCACTTTAAGTAAAATCAATTGATTATTCATTAGGAAAAAAAAATAAATTCTTTGCACACTTGACTTGATGTAAACTTCTGGTCCCAGTAGCTTCAGTGGGCCTTCTGTCAGGATTTCACCCTTTATTATCTTCTGCAAAAGTACTTGGAAACATCTTAATTAGGTAAGATGCATTTGTTTAGAAATTTCAGTCAGCCTGCTAATTGCAGCTGCTTCCACTGGAGCTGAGAAGTTAAAATGGTTGGGTAGTTCTGTAGAGACCACTAAATACATAAAAAACTGAAGTGTACTTTAGTTAGTCTTGCTAACAAAAATTTATGTCACTCCTGTAACTATTAAATTTTGCTTCCAATACTAGTGGATCATATTCTGTAAAATATAAACTCTAAGATAAAACGCGTGACCTTTTGTCAAAGGAATAAAACCAACATCTGGCATTTTCACCTTAAAGAAATATTTTCTTCTCTATCTCTGATGTAATTGTTTCAGGATCCCCAGTTTATTAGGGTTAGGGCAGACACTGACTATAAATACCACAATTCTTTTAAATTCTTTTACATTCAAAGTAAATAAATAAATGTGAGTAAATAAGTATTCAGTTTGAATTATTGTGACCTTTTTTGAAAGATGTTTTAAGAAACAATTATTACATTCTCACAACGTATACACGACTGTCTTTCTAAAAAAAATTCCTTTCTCTAAAAACTACATCTGAACTCTTTCTAAGGCTTTCTCTGGATCACTGAATGTCATTTAGAAAAAGGTATTGGAACACATTAAATCAGTTCTGCTCTGGATTTTTTTTTTAAACTTGCTACAGAACATAATAAAAAACAGAAGGCAGACACTTATAGTGCAATATTCAACAGGAAAATTTTCCAAGAATCTCTTTAAGTAATTTTTGCAAAACAAAATAAAAATATACATTTTCAATATCTTATTTTTTAACCTTGATTTTCTTCTGAACAAGGCCTTGTAACACTGAGTTCCATGGTCTAAGGATATTCTGCTAAACTCCATTCTCTTTGACCAATTATTTCCTCCCAGAGACAATCAATGTCTCTTTGTCCTTGAGCTAAAATAAAGGGTAAACAAGGAAGTTCCAAAAAGCCTGTTTTGCACTCTCATTACTTTGCAGTCTTCTGTGTGACCTTGCTCATTAGTTTCCTCTTTAAACACAAGCTTTGAAGCACTGAAGAAGAGTAAGAAAAACTAGGAAGTCCCTTCATATTTCTGTTTTTGCAAGTTCTTTCCTATGGATCTCTCTCCCTTCTATATTTTTGTGAAATGAGAGAACACAACTGAATGTTGCACTCAGGCATTCACCTACAAAGGCCTGAAGTCAAAAGGGAGCCCAATTCGATCAATTAAATTAAATGAAGTCATATAGATTTGTGTTAGGAAAAACCACTTAGTTGCTCTAAAAAATAAATAGCTCCTAAATGCATAGCATGGAAAATAAATCAAACCCAAATATGTTGAAACAGACCCAATTTGTAGGTGAGGACTCATCCAACATTCTGATTGCCTAAAGGCTTTGTAAAGCATCCTTCCAAACGTTAACAAGATCCAGCCCCATTTAGCTTCTGAAGCATCTGTTGGGATCTCTGCTCAAGGTGACATAGCTGTAGGCACATGTGTGTATTAAGTTATTGACAACAGATGATATAATGGAACAGCATGAGCGGAATAACAATTCTGAAGAAAATCAAAGGAGAAATTCTAGGAGTTTAGAGTCAATTTTAACTTCTTATTTATCTCTCTCTTCTTTCAGAGCACTTATCTTTTTACTGCAGAAGGTATGCAGACAAATGATGTACTTCATCATACAGTGACACTGACACATGGAAGCAGTATACATGTATTAAGATAACTGCTTTGAGACAATCTCTTCAGGTTTCTCACCTATAAAAAACAGCATGATCCAATACACTAAATGAAAAAATTCTGGTATAAACTTTCAACAGGTTTATCTTTGAAGAATGGTTGTTCCCGAAAGAGCCTATCTATCTGTCTTCTATTCTCCTAAAAGGTATGATGTGCCTTCTGCATCATTCTCCACATCAGACAGAGGTCTGTCCATACAAATTGAAGGATATAGTTTGCAAGCAGAAGTCTGTTCCTTTTGCTGTGCATGTATGCAATTTACCCAAATAATCTAATTTGAAATATTTGATCTTTGTCTGGCAGCCAAGTACCTAACTTGACATGTTTTCTGTAAAAAGTTTGTAAGTACAGGATAATTTAGTAGAAATTCAAGCAAGGAATCACACAATTTTTGTCTATTTTGCAACAGATATTCTCTTCCTAGCTATGAATTTTATAGCTATGTATGTATAAATTTTAATCACTTGAAAACTGAGACATCTTACTGTAACCATAAGCATAAATCTGTGTGCTCTAAATATCTTCCAATGTAAGATCCACTATTTTTGAAATGGGCTGCCAGGCCTGCAAAACAACAGCCTTCACTGGCCTTCTGTGACATCCTACCAGCAGGTTAACATACTGCATATTATGAACAACATTTTGATCAACATGACCAACAGCAGTGCCTCTTTGCAATAATAAAATGGATGGGTATCTATACATTTAAGAATTTTCTACCATTTCTCATTCTTCTCAATAAAATATAACATGTTATCTGCCATCAGATATTTTTTTCTGTCAGGTTGGCACAAAAGAAAGATTAAAAACAATGAAGGAAAAAATAATATTTTGATTGAATATATGTAGCCTCACCTTGCGAATGCCTCTGCCAAGATCTTCTCCATAATTTGTCCCCAAAATTTCAAAGTGAACATTGGGATTCCCCCCATTTTCTGCAAATTCTAGTTCTCCAGTCAAGCCATTCACTCCACCCTATTGGGAAACAAATAAAGAAATAATACACACATGTATTTTTTCAAAACAAGAACGGAGTGACAACTCAGAAGTAGCCAGTTATGTTTTGTTTTTCCGGGCTATTTGTGTACAACTGACACAGAAGACATGTGCACATACATGCCATACATACACATATATACAATTAACAGAATTAGGATAGTTTCCTAAAGACCACATTTTCCTAAAAATTTTGAGCCCTAAATTGTTATTGCATTACTAAAGCTCTTCACAAATTCAACAATGCTGAGATTCAATACGAGCAGTAGTCTTACTTTTATCGTATTTGCACACCAACATTTGCTCTTTCTCCTGCCAGTAGGACATGAAATTCTAATCTATAAGAAAAACAGTTTCGCAACTAATTTTAGTGGAAGCAAACCTAAAGACAAATATACAAAAAAAAAAATTGTTTTTTTCAAACTTTTATCACTGAAAACATGCTACAACAGGGTATCAGGCTGAGTTTTGAATTAAATTAGTTGCATTTTGAGATCATATTGATCTGTAGAAGGTATAAGGGATTTGTTTATCTCAGTGTAGTTATTTGTCTGTTTTCCTCCACAAGTCTTCAATACTACTAGAAATACATCAGATAAGCAACAAACAATTTTCATGCTTGCTTCTACTTTGCTTAACATTTTAGGCAGAGGGGTTAAAATACTAAAAAGGAAACAGTGAGCATTTACTATAAAGAATCAGAACTGAGAGGTGATACATACTGCAGGAATAGTCAGAATATATTCCGGGGTAATTCAACATGGCACACATTTCAGCCTTTTATAAGAACTGTGATAAAGTGAAACTCTAAAAATCAACAAAGCCATGTGAAATGCCTACAGTGAAAGCCTTCGAAAATTTTCCTGTTTTTTGATAAGGAAAAAATTAGATCTTTGACCTACTTTATTCAAGAAACCTGAACAACATTTTAAGTATGCACATAAAACAATCTGCATCTTTACAAAAACCATACAAAATGCATAGCTTTTCTTCAAAACGTAATATGAGTATTTTTCAGTTCTAATCACTTCTCCAGTTAAAGGTTTTAATGTGTGAAGTGGAAAAAAAATGGAAAATAAATTATTGCAGAGCAAAATACCAAATCACCTGGCAATTGCTGAGTCATGATTTTAACAGCTCTGTTCTCATATCTTTAATTTTGCGAAAATGCATGTAGGAGTACAGTATTTGCATTGCAGATTAGTGTGACCTGAAAAAATGCATGTGGTCATCCTTTGGTAAAACATTAACATAATTATCATCGAGGTAATACCTTTAAATCTTTAAGATTAGAGACTTGAATTCTCATGGAAACGTTTTCTGCATATTTCATGAAGCCCCTTTTAAAGTTAAAAACAAAAAAAAATCTTTGATGTATACATATTTTTAACCTTTTCTATAATCTCTACTTTTTGCATGAAATGCCAGAAGGATAAAAACCACCTCTGATTAAGAGTACATCTACATACTCTTCTGCAGAATGCCTTTGTTTCATTCTGCACTAGGCGAGAGCCATAGGGGCAATTTTGATGCACATCACTATGGCTGGTATTACATACAAGACCCTTAACTAACACAGCCAACAGATGCACTACCAGATTTTGAAATGGAATCTCAATCCAAATCATTGTGTAAATTTACTTCCCTTGATTTTTAAATGAGCGCAAATGTTGGAGCAAAATACAAACTGCAAGTCTGTAAGTTATTTTTATCTGTCTGAAACCTGGCAGTAACCATAACAACAAATTATCTCATTCATCTATTTGGAAATCTTCTCATGCTTCAAAGATTTGTCATATACGAGTGTTTTTGATTAGAGTTTTCTTTCCTAGACTGTGCCCACCTGAAAATAGAGTAATACCAGCTCAGATTACATGGGAATGTTCCTGGCTTGGGAAGTGAGGGAAAAAAAAAAAAAAAAAAGAGTCAGAACAGAGCAGAACCACCCATATAATAAAAGACAATAATGGAATCCAATAGGGAATTTCTTAGAGGTTCTGACACCTTCACCCTACTTGGGACCTGCCTTGTCAGCCCATCAGTGAAGGTCAGACAACCCTATTCCAGATATCTGCTACACTTTGATGTTCCACAAAACCTCTTTATGTGTTTTACTGCTCATGAGTGAGGGATCAGCGCAGCATATTGCAGAGTATGAGTTTCAGGACAGTGTTCCCATTTTTCTGCATAGTCTTTCACCCTCTAAAGCCCTTAATTGACTTACTGCAAGTGTTTTATATCCCTCCTCTAATGCATAGTGGAAGGAAATCACAGAGGAAACGGCCATCTGCATGACAGCTACCGATCCAGTAACTTCCTGATAAGTTTTTCAAGTTATGTCAGCATTAATTAAGACAATGGGTAAGAGTCAAATTTTTCATTCCATTTAACTTGTAGAAACAATGCTATTTGGGAAAAGAAAAAGACAGATTTATTATCTACTCTAAAATTCCTCTAAGGTTCAGCCACAACCATGCAATTTCCTGACACGTTTAAAATTGAAGAATGAAATGTCAGTTGTTAGAACAAAAATGTTTTACTTATGTTTCTGATTACTGCTCTGGGCTTTGCAGAGCTACTATAAAGCTTGGTAATATAGTGAAAGCCTACTTGAGTCCTGTCTAGACTGGCAAGATAAACTACAGTTTATATACGCTTAGGCACTATTATACTGCAAGGAAGTCCCTGAAGAAAGTATTATTTACCCAACAGCCAGGACTTCACATGGGAATGCCAGCTTACCAGTCATTAGTTTTAAAGTATATCACTTTGCTATTCAAATTATTGTTATGCTCCGACATGGTATATTTTGCAAATAAGAAAAAGAAAAAACAAACAAAGAACAAAAACTCCTTGTGGCTGTTGGTAGCAAAAATGCTGTAAGCCTCAAATATAATTTTGTACTGTAATTTTGAAGAAATTTGTTGTTTAAAAAATTGCTGAGTCCACAATCAAAGACATTGTTTTCAGGTGCCTGCAAAGACAAGCTAAGCTACTATCTGAACAAAAGTTTGGCATCTTTTTTTCACATCATTACTGAACATCACTGACATATCTGAGACCAGTTAACAATTCCTGTCCATGATTCATGAAATAGCACAAGTTACAGTCCATTTGCCTCAAAGGAATATTCTCCATGCTGCTGCTAGCACTAAAAATTTGTTGTTTGTCAGTAAGCTAAACAAATGTGACTCGGTAGAGATCAGACGAAGAGATATATGCATTAACTTGATGTCATTTTTCTGAGTTGATTCTCCATGTAATCCTACTTACATTTATTTTCAGGCTATTCTGGAAGATTAATTTTTCCAACAGTAGAATTATTTTCTAGTAATAATTATTACTCTCACTGTGAAATAGCTTTACTGACAAATATACAACGTGGCATGTGTTTTGGGATAGTTCCTATTAGAGAAGTGAATTTATATATAATTGCAAGAGCTGGCCAAATTCATTAGTTGGATTGTATTTCCTGATGAACCTAATTATTTATTCAGTTCCATAATGCATAGAAACAGATATTAGATCTTTTTTCATTAATTTTATTGGCCTTAAAATGGTTTTTAGACTTTATTCAATCAGTTGAATTCACACAGTAATCGAGCTTTTGGACTTTTTTTTTTTTTTTGTAGAAATAGTGACCCAGGTATCCAATGTTCAACAATAAAAATCACTCAACAGGGAAAGATTCAGGGAGCCATTCTGTTATTTCAAGAAATCTCTGAAACTCTTTAAACCCCCCTTGTTCTCTGCTCTTCCATATTAGATCATTAATCATAAAGAAACTATTTTCTCTATTTACTGTCAGATTTCTGCTATTTTTAGCAAGTGGTGCTGAAGGTAAATCAGCATCCCTTTCTTTTACCTTCCTCAGTCTGTAGCTTACACAGATTTCCCATTTCTTTTCCTATTTTTCCCTCCAGAAATCAGAGGGACATGCCCCTTGGCAGCTAAAATGCTGCCAGATAATGCCGTTTCTTGATCTCTGACTCTAGAAGACAGATTTTCTTCCAGAAAAGCTTCCTCAATAATTCATCTTTCTGCTTTCTTAGAGGGAAGGAAGAGCTCAGCTGTGACCAGCAGTAGATGGCAACATCACCTCCACTTGCTGCTGAGACCAGGAGAACAGCTACTTCACTGCTAGCCCTTTTCTAGGGGAGGCAGCCTGGAATTAGTCATCAGTTCCTTAACTGTTTCCCCACCACCACCGTGCTTGACTACAATGCAACACCATCGAAATCAAAAGGGGTTGAGGGGCAGGATGGGGAAAACTGCAATTCCAGCCACTTCATACAGATTGTTCTGAAGGCACAGTTAAAACTGTGCAGAGACTCTTAAGAATGTACATTTTATCTTTGCTCTGAGCTATAGCAATATTTTCTTATTCCAGCATATGCTATATTCTTGAAACAGCGGTGATTTCCAAATGAAAATTCAGAACCTTTCATTCTGAAACAGTTTAAATGACATCTGGCCATTTTTTTCCCCCATTTTCTGTCAAGATTAAAATGAATGGTATGTTTATGAGAAACACTTATTTCACTTGTTTCCAGTTCCACAAGGCCAGGAGGGAAAAAAAATTTGACGAAAAAAAAAACAAGATAAAAAATGGAAGGATTCTCAAGCAGAGAGATTAAATGTTTTTTATTTTACCTTTCACTACTTTTTTTCTGTCACTTCATCACTGTCAGTGTTTTCATTTCAAAATAAACAACTGTGATTTCAAGGTTCTACATAAGCACGTCAGCGAATTCAAAGAGAAAGTACATCACAAAACTGAAACAGGACTCCAGCACTTAGCAGCAATTTTTAGCTCTCTGGTAAAGATGCATAAACATTGGAAATTTCTGTCTGTAACTGTAGGTTTCATTTTGGTTTTGAATTTTATCACGTTGCTTCCAGAAATTCATCTCAGCACAGTGCGGTGTGTAAGAAGTACTTTGTTTTTTTCATTTACACCTGTAAAATGGCTTACTATCAAAGCCATCTCATTCAAATAGCAGAGAAATCCAAAGGAAACAGGAAATAAGCCTAGTTACCTGCACATGTCAAGAATTTTCATGACTTTCAGTTCATTTTCTAGCAAGCTAACCACATCTCTGGATCTGCACTTGCTTCTGCTTTTTGTGTTTCTTTCATATTTTACTGACCATTTCTATTCACATTTCCTGTCAAACTGATCTTCAAGATGGTGACAGGAGGAGTTTATTTTATTCATCACATAATTTTAGGGAGGTGGGAATTTGAAGAGGATAAACTGGATGTGCTAGAAAGGGCAGCGTAGCAAAAATGGAATACACACCGTCTGTCTGAAGTGCAAAAAGATGCACTGGTGGTCAAACACAGTATGAAGGACATTTATATAGGACAAGAAAATCAGTCGCACATCCACAAATGTCACAAGAAAGCAAATAACTGTAAATGCAAAAAGTCAGCAGTCCTTTTATTGGTTTTCATTTCAAAAGCAAATTCAGAGTTGCTAGCAGGGCTATCAGAGTTTTCCTAAAACCCAAGTCAGATAGTAAAATCTAATTCTAATATGCAAGTGGGTATTTTGACTTTTGTGATTCAGGCTTCCTATTAGAATTTGAATAAGTAGGAACACGTTTATTAATGAAAAAGTGCACCATAATATTTACAAAGTGCATGCTGATAATGAAAATTCCAGAGTTAGCCTTGCTTGAAAAGTAGCTTGAAATACATGAGACTTCCAAGCATGGATTTGAAAATGCCCTGCAACACTACTTTAGACCCACTTAAAGCCAAAACCTGCCTCTCTTCTGGATTATCTTTGCAGTCTCATGACTTTCTATTAGAATGGAAACTGAGGACAGCCAACAAAGAAAGCCTTGAACTTTTATTTGGGAGCTACTCTGAATTGGATTTGGGACTGGGGGGAAAAAAAAAACAAAAAAAAAACAAAAAAAAGCCAACAAAAAACAGTGTTCAAAGGAGCTTTATGTTTTGCCTGCATCATCATAATTTCTAGTGTAGTTAAAGACTTAATACAGAGCAGCAACTTCTTGAAATAACATTATATTTTAAATTATTTTTCTGTCCTTTTAGGGAAAGCCATAAATAAAGAACATTTCTTTCTTTCTCTTTTTTTTTTTTTTTTTTTTTTTTTTTACTGTCCTGTATTGTTTTGTCTTTACAATGGAGGTACTGACAGCACTTTAAATGTAAATATACATTACCAGAAAGTACATGCAGCCAAATGAAAAGGCAGTTTTATTAAAGACATCAATAACATGAGAAGGCTGAATAGAATGCCTTACACAGAAAGGTAAACAAAGAACCCATGCATATTTTGACTAAATTATCACCATGAAGGCTGTGAAATTGCCTCTTAAAGATGTGGGTCTTTAAATATCATGATAAGAAGGTATAAGTAGGAAAAATATATTTCAAGCTGAAGAACAGTAAATGAGTTTTGGGAAGGAACATTATTTAGGTATGAAGTAATAGTCACAGAGAAGTAGTGAGAGCTTAACACTGGATAAAGCAGCCTAGTCTATTGTAAGAAAATGTTCTTTAATGACATGATGTATACTAGATGACTTCAGACTTCTTACTTTCATTTATATTATTCCACTATATTAATTTCAATAGCAGGGCAACAACAAATTCCACAGAACATCAATTGAGTCTAATTGTCAATTTTTTTTCTGCCATAAACAGTAAATCTAGTACATTTTTCAGCTTTACCTTCTACTCAGCAATACTTTTTTCAATGGGGTTTTAGTCTCTAGTAGTGTTTGGTACTTTTGGTGGAAAAAACAATATACAAGTATGACACAAAAAAGTTAAAGAGTTTTCATTCAGATATTGAGATCATATAAAAACTTTTGGTCTGATAAGACACCACTGTACTGAACAAGAATAGTACACATCTGAGAAGTAATTACCAATGCAGGTATTTAAGAAATCAGTGATGAAGAAGTACAGAAAAAGGTACCTTCTTGATGGTTTCCAACATGGATCGTCCTCCTTGCCAGGGCTTTGAGTTCTTCCTAATGCAGGTCAGGCTGGCCATGCTGTGCCACTTCCTATCCTCTAGCTTCTTATGAAAGGCATTTGCCAGCAGAAGGACAGTGTCATATATGTACAGATTAGAAATCTGTAAAAACACAAAAAAAATGGAGTAACAGCATATTACTTGTGTCTCCTGACAGCGGCCAGAATTTGTCATTTATTTTGCCTCACCTATAATCCCTTGGTAATTAAATGACTTATTTGATATTAAGAAGAAACCACAAGAGTAAAAACATCCCCTCTTTGGCTCTGGTAGAAACAGCGGCTGTGGTCTGTAATGCTACAATTGATTTGCAGCAACAAACTATTACACACATGAAGTACAAATAGTCCAATTGCTCTTACAGCTCCACAAGAAGGATTAAAAGCCCTACTTGTGAGAATCAGCATACTTCTTTCACCCAGATGCCTAGAACTTTCAGTTTTTCCATTGTTAGACATTTTGAACATCATCAAATTCTTTTTAAGGCTGTCTGTTCTTTCAAAAAGCAGCCACTGTGAAAAATTAAAAAATAAATCATTCTAGGACTTTTTTTTTCTTTTTTCTTATTTTTTTCTTCAGGCAACCATGGTGGATGCAATTTATTGTACAAAATCCGACCCAGTGAAATCTTTCCACTGTGTACTATTGCCCTCCGGTTGTGAAGTTTACAGCATTTTCTGTCAGAGCATTTGGCCATGGCTATTAATTCATTGCAGTACCAAAAAAACTCCCAGACATCAGTGCTCCTGAACGCAAGTGCTCAGTAAGAGACAACACTCAGAATTGAGAAGGACCCATGAGAATACTATTTGTAAATAATCTGTTGGTCATTTGAAGCCATAGGGCCTCCTGCGGTGATTGAGGGAAGCTCTCTTTCCTCAGCTGTACTGCCAATGGAGCTATAGAGCATTTCTAATCCCTGAAAACAAATTAGCCATCAGCAATTTCATAACTGAGCCACAGTTGCTGATATATATTTATTTTTTCTCCATCAGATATGCCAAAATACATTTTCTAGAATTGTGAAATAGGACGACTGCTCTGAGTGAAGGTCTCCCTGTATAGCAGTTCTGTTCAAAGCCTTTAAGGATCCTTACAACAGGAAATTCTTACACTTTGTGGAGAATACGCTTACTCTGCTTCTTGAAAATATCAAAAGATTGGGAATGTCTCGCAGCTATTAGTAGTGGATTTATGCAAGGAAACACAATAATGCTGAAGATTTGAGACACTGCTTGGCAAATCGCCTTAAAACAGGAAAGGAAAAAAAAAAAAAAAAAAAAAAAAAAAAAAAGGACCTCTCTTTCTGTCCAACCCAATCCATATACCTTTTTTTTGTTGTTGTTTTAATGTTATTTATTTTCTCATCTATATGTTAACTTTGCCTGTGTCATTTACAATCTGTTCTGTACAGTTTTCACAACAAGGTTTTACGACAGATTCTTCCCTGGCCTAGCATCAAGGAAGGAGGTGATCAGCCTCCCCACCCTGCCAGAATTTCCTGGGTCAATTTTTTGCTTCAGTATGCCTTACTGAAGGAGATCTAATGATCTGTTATTTTTCCTCCCAACAAACTCCCAAGATTCCCTATTGCCTTTTCAACTCTATGCCGTTAGATTCAGAAATGCACAGATCTTGTGATCTTTATACATACATATACATCTTTTTCTTTAAATGACAGTAATACTTCACTCTATTTGGCTCTTCACTCTTATTCGAACTCCTTCCATAATATCAATGGTTCTGACAATTTCCATTTCAGTATTCACACAGGAATTAATATGCTTCCCTGCAGATGATAGGCTAGGCATCACTGTGCATGACAAGATTAGAAGCATGGACTGAGGATCTGGGTTTAGATTGAGTATTTTTAAAATAACTTGGATGATTTATCTATTTATTCCCTAAAACTATAAAATATTCAAAGCCTTTCAGTTAAATCCATATTTCCCAAAGAAAACATCACTAAGGGGACTTTTGTTTTAGAGGGAGAAAAAGGAATTACTGCTATGCTATGAGACATATTTATTTTAAATATGCCTTCACCAAAGGAAAAAAAAAAAAACATCTCTAGAGAGAACAGGCAATAAGCTTGCTAACATGACTAAACTGGTAAATGAAGGGCTACAGATGCCAAGTCATCATTTCCCAAGAAAATGACATTGCTTTCAAGGTAGTTTTCAGAACCTAGTATCATGGGAATGGAAGACTGTTTTCACAGTTCATGAGGAAGGATGCACTTACTAATCCAAGAGAAAGATAGTTAGTCCTTCATCAAGTATTAATAGGGCTCAAGGGTACAGAGTTCAGCAATTATTAAGCATTGTTACTCTTTTACTAATAGTACAGCTTAACATTTACAGCAATCAATCACTGATAATATAATGATAAAGACACTACAATTAATTTCTGGATCTCAAAATCACTCTTCCATTCCACTGCCAGACTATACTTCATTAGTAACTGTATTGACACACACACAGTGGGGCTGCAATTTAAAGTCACTTTACATTTTTATTCAATTCCATGTATATTTACCAGGACAATTAATTCATTGTTTGATATCCATTACTGATACTTAATCTGTTCCAAGTCTCTCAGACTAATATCTGGACACTTGCATTACCACGCCATATGCAATTGGTTAACCTCCCGTTGAAGTAATTCAGAAACCAGATATGAATTTTTGTTCCAAACTACAGGAAAAAAACCCACATTTCTTTAGCAATCAGACTAAGTGATTTATCTGGATTAACTACACTTATTTTACTTATCTTTTGACTGTTGCACAGGGCTTTTAGACAAAATTATGATAGTGAACTTTGCAAACTTCCTGTGCTTTCTGAGGCTTACAAAGCAACACAAATTTATAGAAACTGCCATTATGAGTAGGACAATCACAGAGACACAATGAGAGACCTTTACCATGGTCTTTTTCAGTGTTTTAATTAAGGTGCTGAACTAAATTAATTATTCACACAGCCTTTAGGGGGAGCATTTTGGGGGAGCGGGGGGGGAGAAAAGGGGAAAGAAAAAAAATCTCCCTTCATGATTTCCAGAGAATATTTCTGATTAGTCACAGTTCAGTGGCATAAGAAGAACATTAGAATTTCAATTTATAAACTGTTCCAACTTCCCACTGGAATAGAAATTAATTTATAATATTGCTGGGGAGAACAAAGAAACACCTAACAAACCCGAAAGCTATTTGATTCTGTGCATCATAAGAAGACACAGGGGATACTTCCTTTCACTGTTTATCATTGTTTCACTTGGCTACTAATGAAGGACAGCCATCTTGGGGAAAGCAAGAACATAGAAACTGAACTGTGCAAACGTTTAAGTCAAACTTCCGTAATTCCTTTGAACAGAAATGTAATGAAGGCCTCAAAGGAAGATTACAGCTATCAAAGAGCTATGGCCTATTCTTGATCAAGAAGAATAGCTTAAGGTGTAATACAATCCCACCTAACACATTAAAGAGAATTTACCAATGTGAAGAAAACAAATTTTTGATTTCTAGAACTTTTCTAGAATAAGTTCACTGTTGTGAGGAAATAAAAGTTAAGCTGAAGTGAGCAACAAACAAAACATGAAGTTTCTTATTATTACGGAATGGCCTGGGTTGAAAAGGACTGCTAAGACCATCCAGTTTCAACCCCCCTGCTATATGCAGGGTCACCAAGCACTAGACCAGACTGCCAGACTGGATGTGGCTCTAGGCCTTGAATGCCTCCAGGGATGGGGCATCCACAACTTCCTTGAGCAACCTGTTCCAGTGTGAAACCACCCTCTGAGTGAAAAACTTCTTCCTAATATCTAACCTAACCTCTCCTGTCTCAGTTTAAAGCCATTCCCCCTTGACCTATCACTATCCACCCATGTAAACTGTCATTCCCCCACCTGTTTATATGCTCCCTTCAAGTACTGGAAGGATTATTAACAGAATTCCTGTTTTCTGCATTGCTCTAATAAGTAACTTAGTTCATGAAAACTGCTTCTTGTGATCACTAGTGGCTGTATGTAATTATCTCCTCACTTTCTATGTACGTTCCATGGACTTCCAAACATTTTCCCTAGGACCACGCAGCCACAACAGAATGACACAGACTTTAAAGACTTTATACAGCTCTTAAATAGCTTCTGCTGATATTCTGTGCATCAATTGAACTTGCACAGGCCAGTTTATTTTAAAACTACTAACAAGACCACTGTACAGTATAATATGGCCTTTTCATATCATCAATAGGTGTTTATTGGCTATTTTGTGAGCAATTAATGAGACAATGGCTTTCATTGCTAACCTGAAACATGGCAAGACTGGTCACACTTTCTTCCCCCTTAACATCCTAAAGTGAATTTAGGCAAGTTAAAACTTGCCTTTAAAATTTCCTATTTCTTTTCCATTCTTTCACTCCTTCCTTTTGGCACCACAACTTTTCTCACTGCTGCTAAGTCAGGTATGCTCCTCCTGCACCAGTGCCAATATAGTCATCTTTCCATAAGTTCACACAGGACTTGACAAAATAAATAAATAAACAGATATTTTAAGCCAGTTTCACATTTCTTATTTGCCATAGCTTTGTAATGACAAAGTGTAATCGGATATATGAAAGAGAGAGAGGGAGAGAGGACTTGCTCACAATTGTGATCTTGCTGATAAGAAGGCTCTTATAATTTACAGAACTATAACTTATAATTACAACCACAGAATCACTGATAGGATTTATAATTGACAGCTACAAAATAAAGGCCTTTTAGGAACACAGACACATACTGAGGTACCTCCACAAAAATACTTAAAACAAATGATATGGAGTGTCCCCAGTAAAGGCTTTTCCATTGGCAAGAAGTTTGAGTTTGAGAGCAGGGTAGCAAAATTACTATGCTGCCTGGAGATCAGGTGACTTTCTTTAATTTTTTATTTTTATTTTACTTGTTTTTTTTTTTTTTACTTGGGTAGTGCATGAGTTTTTGTCCATCTGAACTGTTGCTTATTCCCACCCAACTACTTTCCTCAGTCACCATTAAACTGCATGACAGAAAAGAAATGAAAAATAAACATTAAATTAACTAAGCCTCTGGGGAAAAACCTTGAAGTTATCTACAAAGACAGTTCCCAGGTGGGGATATAGCAGTATGTAAACTACCTCCATGCTTTGGGAGAAAGGGTCCTTTGGATCACACAGTGATGAAGATATTCTGTGGTTGCCACGGAAACAGCGCTGACTTATGTTTTGAGGGACAGGAAACGTCTGTCGAATAATTGTTAACCTTCCAATTGACCTTCTCACCAGTTCTTGCACGTCCAAATCACTGATTTCCTGGAAGACAAGGCAAGGAAAACAATATGCATAAAAGTTAAAATACAGACATTTTACTAGCTCATCATAAATGAAAAATAAACTGAGAGCATCAAGAGATGTGTGACTGTTACAAGGCTAGTGCCGAGCTCAGCCATAGCCTCATGAAGAACATACAAAAGAAGAACATAGTTAGCTCATTAAGAGAACTGACTACCACTCTTTCAACAACTGCAAAAATTGTTGTAAAATATACCGCACCCACACCTCACAGAATCTCTGTAGATGTAATTGGGCTTAGTTGTTTCATTTTGGGTTTCCTCTTCCTATCCTTTTGCCTCTGATCTTTTACTTAGAAGTGTTTCACAGCATTCTTAGTAGATAATGTATAAATCAGTAGGAAGTCATAGCATGATGTATTTTTAAGAGTAGGATTAGTTAGGCTCTGTGAAGGTACTGACAATTATTCAGTTCTTAAGTGTATATTTCCTAGAAAAAGAATGTCAAGAATGTGCAAGTTTTTGAACTCATTTGCCCACATTCATATGTGAAACATTAAGCTTGAAAGATTAACTTTAAGGCAGGTTAAGGAAATCAGAAGAACAATCCTGTATACAGTATGAGTTCCTGCAGCTTGATAACATAGCATTTTACACCACTGAAAAATGTGGCCCTGAGGAAATGCAGGGACAGGCAGGGCTCAGGGACAACCACAGCTGGCTCCAGCCCACACATAAAATCCTAGTATTTAGATAAACACAGGCTGTTTCTAAGGACTGAATTAACTTAGCTGGCAATTTTCAAGGCAATCCTATGTCTATTTTTTTTCTGCAAAGCAGGAGTAATAATCTATAAAACTGCTCAGCCTTCGAAGTAAAACTATTTCTCATCATACTGAATTGTTTGTCCATAATCTACTTTAATATCAGAGGCTGATGCCCCAAAACGTTCCAGATATTTAAACTTGGGAGATTCAACCCAATAAGTGGAAGTTCTAGAGTTGCTCCCATTAACAGCCTTCATTTAAAATACCTTTGCATACAGCCACAGCGTATTGAATGTCGGATTCTCAATTTCGTATTTTTAGCTTTTAACTTCTGAAAGAATTTAAGTTTTCTGCTCTGTTATGCCTATAACTAAACACTGTAGTCATTCCTGCATCTAAAGTTCTAATGCATGCTCATTTCTTAGAAGAAACCAGGCGACAGATTCTAAAGTGAACTTTCTTTATTGAGAAAAGATGGCCAAGGTTTTTAAAAACACATCTCTTCAAAAGTTAAGACAACTATTCTGGCACTTATTGATGTATTTTTTGGGGCTTCAGTTAATGTTCTTTAAATGAATTAGTTTGAAACAACAGGTTTGGGCATACTGGGATTAACTTGTTTTCTTTAAAGCTTGGAAGAAAAACAAACGAGATGTAAATTTTAACTTCAGCTCTCTTGACTACAATATAAATATTTTATTCATTTTCACAGATTGTCATAGTTTTTGAATTCATCTGTTATTAATGTTCCTTATGAAATATAGATTTTCCTGCAAACAAAAATAACACATGGTATCAGCTGTGTCCACTGTAATATCTTCCATTTCTGGTCGATTAATCCTTAATGTACCATAGATAATGATTTCTCTCAGCTTAAGATGCTGTCCTTTCACTTAGTTTGTATCATTTTGCTGGCTGTGAGGTTAAAAAAATGCTGTTTTAGCAAAGAGCATGCAATTTTTAAAAATATTTTCCAATAATCATAAACAAGAATTCAAGAATCTTATCTAGATTTTAAACTATGTCCTTTCTGGAAGCATTTACAAATTTAGTCTGGTTTCATTACACATCTGTAATAGCAAGACTCTTAGAACAGTTTTAACAACGTTAAAAAAAAAGATTTCTGAATAGCAATTCTACAGTGCTAAATAATACTTCAGAAAAGATTTTGACTTTCATCTGGTTAAACATTCATCTTTTCTCTCTTAAAAGAGTAATTTTTTTTAATATGTAATCAGCATTTTCGTGCATTTTAATTAGAAAGTTCTCACTTTAAGCTTTAGGTTATTATATTTTTATACAACACCTGGGAACTAATAGCAGAATCCACACAGCAAAGAGATTTTCTTGTGGTACTAAGGAAATATAGGCATCAATAGAATAACAACTATCATTTTAAATGCTGTGAGTTCTACTGATTATATCACAAATTCAGATTTTAGGTTAACTGGAAAGCAATCCCATACAAACCCAGACTCAACTTCTGCCATTTGCTATGTATTTCTTTGCAATTTCTTAAAATTTGGCACTAGCTGAGCGATGAGCCTTTTATATAATGACTCTTCAATATCATCTCTCATTTGTGAATTTTGGATCTGACTTAAGAAAACTATATAAAGTAACTATTGTATGAGAGGAAACAATTTCCATTTGCACTTCAAAGTAGGATACAGTATAATGATAGAAGGATGGCAGATGATCTGTTATACAAGCACAAAATGTCAAAAAAAAATTACAAAGTTGGCCAAGTTGAACTGAGTTGACACCTGTATAAATTTAGGCTTGGTTCTGTGGGCTTTTCTAGAAAAATCCAAAGCCCAAGATAAAGTTTCGAACCTTTCTTTGAATGTCTGAACTCAGAATAAGGAGAGACTGCCCTTTTCCAAACTGAACATGAATAGAAATTAGATGACCATTTCATCCTACTACACACGTTAGTAAAGAAAAGTCTGCAATTTAAAATGCATAGGTCTGCACAGATGGAAAAAATTGAAGTGAGAGGATCATCTCAATGTATCAGGAAAATATTCCAGTGAGAAGCAAGACATATACTGGTCACCTGGAGACCAAGCTGAACTAGTATGTGTGCTATACCCTTTCTGTATTTTTCCAGATCTCTCCTGTGTCGTTACAGGTAAACCTATCACTATATCTTTTCCCATAAACTCTCCCATACTTCTTCCTGAAGGAGTTCTTTCATACTCTGATGCTTCTGGTAATTCCAAATCTTAATTTTGCTCTTACTTGATTCATGGAACTTTTGAACTAATTTACTTGTGTGACAAACTTGTCCTCTCTAGCCTTTTAGAAGGATACATTTATTCACACTTGATATATAAACAGAGAGCACATATCCTTTCAGTCTTTGTTTTCATAGGCTACCTGGCCGACTCTTCTTACAAAAATGAGCTTTTCTGTGCATTTGTTCCAGTTTTACTTTAACTCTTGTTGGTCACAGTTGTGCATATTGTCGTAGATAGAAACCTATCAACACTTTTTAGTGGCTTTAATATTTCTACCTTCTCTATGGTTACTGTAAACATTGTAAAATGTTTCAGACTCTCCTAGAGTAAATAATAATAGTGGAGAACTGGTGGCAGCCTTGAGCATAGTAAGATGCCCCTGAATGCTTTAACAAAGCAAAATGCTTGAGACAGAAATTGATTTTAATTTAAAAAAGAAACATTAATTAAAAAAGAGCATAAAGAAATCATTCTGCAAGTGTCCCTTCTTCAGGCCCACTAAATAAAATTTATTTTACTGTGCAGTAGTGATTTAGTAGTTGTAAGGAAATATTTTACTACCCTGGGATTTTTAAGGTTACACTTACTACTGTGCAGAAGAAAACAACAACAACAACAAAAAAAACCAAACAAAAACAAACAAACAAACAAAAAAAAAACAACAGAGAAAAACAGAAAGGGAGAGCGCAAAATCAATTTTCATGTCTTTCTTAAAGGCATATTTGATCATGACTACATTCAAATCTATGACTCTCACAAATTTTAAGTACAGAATTGTACCATCTGCTTTCAAGCCCCGAAGAAAGAGAAATACTTATTTGGAGAGTGGTTCTTCAACAGAATCCAATGATCAGGCAGAAGAGATTTGTGTTATTTGTAAAGGACTAATAAGATGTATTATGCTTTTGCAAATTATTTCATTTTATAGGAACAACATTCCTCCTCCCACACATGCAATTCCATTTTGATACAGTTTCCAAGCAATTTTTCTGTATTACCTAAAATAGCATCTAATGTGACAATAAAAATTAAGGAATTCTTTAAAGGCATTATTATATTTAAAGCAAGCGACTAAAATAACAGATGTTGCCTCAAAAACCCAGGCAGATTCACGATCACAGAACTGAAGGTGGTATTTCCTACCATATTATTAAACTCAGTAAGCACACCGTAATCGCTTAGTGCAGTCATGGAAAGAAATACAGCTTATTGTGGTACCTTACTGCAAGGAAATATTTGTCATATATGGATTTTGACAAACAATGGATTTTCACTGTATTTTAAGGTATCTTAAATTTTCTTATCGGGTGCAAGAGAAGCACTGTTGTAGTTAATAACTGTAAGTGATCTATCTAATAGAGGCACACAACCATGGATGTGTGAAAGTTCACTATTGAAGATTTATGTTGCAGAAAACCAGGCAGAGCTCTCAGATCACTTCACAGACACATGGAAGTACTACAGTCATCAATAGTTAAAGGACAATCATATCAAATGGATTAGTTTTGGATGTCAAGCCAGCAATTTTATGTACTGAAGTCCTGGATATTACTCCACTTCTGCTGAAGTAGTGGTGTTGTGATCTTAATACTGAACTTGCAAAATGTTGCAATAAATAAGTTATATTATGTCACATTCATCATTCAGGAAATATTTCTATTTCTATTTAATTTGAACATAGTGTTACAAACTAAAAGAAGAATAGGGCAAAACATTTTTTCGTTTCATTTCGTATCATTATCTACAAACTTTATTACTAATCTGATCTTTACATCCACAAAATATTGAACATTTTGAAATCATTGAAATCATACAGATCCACATGGATCACTGAGTTCAATTCCTAGAATCAACAAACAGAGCTTGACAGTAAATTGCTTCAGTGGGGATATGAATTTAGGTCCAGAAAAAGATTAAGCTGAGATAGCTGAAGAGTTAACTTTGCATGGTGTTAAATGTGTTCTTGTCCTCCACAGATGACAGCAGGGATGACTGAATGGAATACAAAAAAGATTTTAATGACTATGTTTTTATAGCATGGCTAGTTAGAATGAACTTAATTTCAGCTTCCACCATTTTGCATACAAGAGTATAAAGCATCGAAAGGGTGGTGCATGTTTCTGCATACATCACTCAGCACTACTAGCTGTGGAAAGGAATAGTTTTGGAGCAGAGAAGACAGTTTAAAGTGGTAACTACTTCTATTGCTGTGCTGTTTAATCCACTCCTATGTACAGTCAACAATGCTCAGAAAGCAAAATTTCTTCCATAAAGACACTAATTTTTGAATACAGAACATAAAGAAAGTATGTGTAATAGGAGGTTCTTGGTTTTCTTTTCAGTTTTTAGAGTGGAGGAGTGGACATATAAAAAAAGAAAGTACCTACTCCCAGTCTGTCTGGGAACTTTATTGATACTGATGCATACACCTGTCTTCTACTGATAGAGACTTTGTTCATATCTTTTTAAAAAATAGTAACTCTTAACTCAGAAGAGTGCACATCAACTCCACTTCAATATTCCACTGATGACAAATAATTTCTAGTTTAATCTGGCAGAAAAGGAAATGTCTGTGTGCAGTTCATGTGACCATCTGTAGCTTAGAGTTGGGTTCTGAGCCAGAGAGACCCACCCCATTCAGTGCTGAAGAACAAGGAAAATTACTGGTCAGGGGAAATGCAGGGCCCAAAGCAATAATTTCTGCTGAACCTCGGTTGTCTTCACAGCACTTAATGAGGCATAATTCTCTCCACAGAATGTTGACTAAAAGTTCGCTCTTTTAAAGGAGAAAGACAAAGTATGCTCTCACTGCAAAAAGCTGAAACTTATTATTACCTTGAAAAAAAAAGCTTTGAAAGCTTTTAGACTACTAGTGAAAAACTAGTAGCAAAGTATGAAAACAGAAGAGCACAGTAAATCCAGAGTAGATCTAGAATTCATATGCAATTTCTCCAAGCTATCTTTAGTTTTAAGAATATGCAGGAGATGTACAATTTACACACTGGGTAGCGTTATCTCCTCAGGGAATTCAGCCATTCTGGACTTAAATTGCTTTTCAGAAAACAAAAGACAAAGTGAATGCCTTCAAATCTAGCACAACTGCACTTTCCAAAGTTTTCATATGCAAAGCTACTTCACACTGACTTGCCATATTTTAGCTGACAAGCGTTCATAGCAGAACCTATTTCACAGTTTAAAATTAGGAGCTCCTTTTTTCTTTTATTTTCCTTCAGGAACTTTGATATATGATCTGGTTCAGGAGTCCACCAAAAAGTCTTCTAATGATACCTATGGTTTTGGGTACCAATCATTACTGAATTCCAGATGAATATTTACAGGAAAGGGAAAGATCGGATTACTAATTTCTTTTTTTAAATAAGAAAAGTAAATGAAATATGAATGAAACAAAAGCACTTCAGTACAAAGATCCATTATGAATGAGAAATGATCTTAAGGAAATCCTCTAAAATTGTCAGTTCAAGTACTCGGTAGGAAAATTTTTTTGTTCAGTTTATTTTTCATTTATTCATTTAAGCATTTCTGTTTAAAATAGGCAAGAACGAAACGGCAAAACCAAAAGACTTGGCATTCTCTTTCTGTTAAATGTTCACCCTCTCAGCAGGGCCTGAACTTTGTTGTAGCTACTGCTTCCTGCTGGCAAAGGCAAGACCAGTGTGAATATTTGTCTGTAAGCCTGAAAACAGGATTCATACTTCACAACAATGTTCACTTGACAGTTACCTCATTTATAATGATCCAGTGACAGTCGAAAGCAACCAAATTAGTCTCCACGACCTGAAATAGAGAACAAACGAGCTATCAGTCAGCTTGCTTATGAAAACCAGAAAACAACAACAAAAAAACTTAAATAGATTCTCTCTGCAAATGACAAAAATGGAAGCACATGCTCTTCAAGACCTTTGTTATTCAATTGAAGGGAGGGAACCTTTAGCAAAATTTTGTGGAAGCATTTGTGTTATTGTTTGACTTGCTGATTAAAGTTGAAAAATACGCTTCACTGCTGGCATCACTGAATAGAATATGTTTCAGTTGACTGAGGAGAAAATGAAATTATTTTTGCCTTAATATTGTGCGGAGAGAGAGCAACAGAGAGGAAGGCCAAAAATGAATATCAAGTAACTCATATCAAATTTCTGCACTCCTGCCTTTCTAGTGTATGCCTATGACATGGAAACCTCTGAATTAAAAATTAAAAAATAAAAACAAGCAAAAAGAGCCAACAACCTTGAGATGCATGGAGACACAAAGCGGGGAGAGAGTTTCTCTTGAAAAAGAGAGCTGTTACTGGGATGATAGACAGTGGCCTGTCCCTAGCTATCTGCAGAGAATGCCTCTAATCCTTCTCCCACCATCACCTTCATTTCCTTGCTAAAAATTATTCTAGGAGATACCTTTGTACTGGATTGAAATTTTATTACCTAATTTTTCTTTCTCTCAACATTATCCCTCTTGAGTTCCCTTGAGATCCCTTCTTGAGTTCACTGCTCTTGTGGAAAGCCATGTTTGATTCACAGTAAAGAAGAAAAGTACCAGGAAATCTATAGAAAAGGCTTACTTTTTTTTTTTTTTTTTTTTTTTTAAACAAATAAAACTGATTTGACATTTACTCCGAAATTATTTTAAATAAGTCAATCCAATTTTGTTTTTATAATCAATGTATACAACTTGATTCACCATTTAAAACCGGTGAATATCTAAAACAGCGTTTAATCTCAGAAAAAAATTAAAATAAAATACAAAGACAAAAATTGAAACAGGCCTTGAAACTTGCAATGTTAGAAAATTCATGTAAATAGGTTGCTCTGAAAGTAATGCTTCCTCTTTATTTCCATGGAAACTACAACTTATACAAAAAGCATACTATTTGGTAGGGCAAATTCTTAGCTACAAAACACTATCAACATAGTCACCTCTGTTAGCTATGCATTTTCACCAGTAATGAACACAAGAGCTTGCATGGCATACTGGTAAAAGGCTGCAGCAGCAGAAGTGACCTGCTGTTGTTGTCACCACTTCAGAAACACATCCACCACCTCACTGTGCTCACATTCCTTTGATCATCATAAATGTTCAGTAACCATCAGTGTATGTAGGTACTATTTTTTCTACATGGAGTAATTCAAAGACACACCTTTGCTTCATACACACTTCCACGTCAGACACCATTTTGCCAGACAGCTCCTCTGCTGCCGTCTGTCACACAGCAAAAAAAAGGAATGGAATTATTGCAGGAAGGTTCAACCTCTACTGCCATACCACCACCATCTATCTCTGACATGGCAGGCCAACATATTAAAACAGGAGGCATTACTTTTGGAGGAGTTCTTGTGGGTGACTGGTGCTGGTCTGTTGCTACTTAGATTAATGCATAGCAAGCATGTTTGCCTTTTAACAATGACAAACAGAAAAGTAGTTGCCAAGGATGGCTGCAATTTATTTAAAGACTCCATATTGATAACCTTCATTATTAATTCAGAGGCCATTAGAATCAGGGTCACTGCTTATTTAGTACAATGACAGGCAAGATTAGAAATTCTGATCTAGAGAGACTAGGGAAAAAAACCAAGAGCAGCAGTATATGAGCTGAGATCCTATTTGAAACTCTCATGGTGCCAGAAACTGGGAGAAAGGAAGGCCATCACTGTTAGTGTGCTCATGGAAAATTATTTATCTTAGGAGCAAGGTCCTTGCTTTATTCAGCATTTTGGTTTGTTACTCTTTCTATGTGATAACAACAGCGCATTTTGCCATGTTCCTTTGATGCTGTCTTACATTGTCCACAGAAAATTACCCTGACTACACTTCTCCAGATAAGGCCTCCCAAGGTTCCCACTGGCTCTGAGACAGCCTACCAGGAGAATACCCTCAGATTCAAGGCTTGTGGTGAGGTTAGGGAAACAAAAATGATTGTGCTGCGTGAGGGACTCCTCAGCTCTTGTTCTGCCTCAAAATGCTACTCAATTGAATCTTGAGTTTCAGGTAATTTCTTTAAAAGGATTTGGTTTTGTGTGACTACTTTGTCTAGGCTATCATATTTAAATTAGAAAAAGCCTTTTCAACAGAGTGTGGTTCTAAGAATCAGCACTGTTATTCAGTGCAGCTCAGAGACAACTTGAGCAGGATTCTGGAAGAAGCTTATTGGTCTCACTAGTTACTCAAATAGCTCAGGCTACCTGTGATAGATTTACTTGTAATTTGCAAATCTTAAGTTGAAAAATACTCATTTTTCCATTGCAACTGAAATTTCTCAGCTGAAAAATCATGTTTTATCCATTAAAGTTTTATGCATTCATGAATCTACTTAATATTAAAGCCATTTTCAAAAAGCTTATGTCAGCCTGAGATAAACTTGAAACGTACTCAGAGACATTCAAACTAATATATTCTAAGTTTAGATGGGCTATGAATAGCCCACAATTTTAGAATTCACTTTTCCTTTCATCCTATTGTAAGCTGCTTTTTTGGTATTTTCCTTAACCCATCCACACAAAGATAGTACTAGTATCAAAAGTAGTTGCCTAAAAATGCAAATAACTTTGCCTCCAAGAAGTCTTTTTTATTATTGTGTGTTTTTTGTTGTTATTGGGTTTTTTTGTTTGTTTGCTTGTTTTGTTTTTATAAAGTGTATTTATTTCTAAACTTGGATCTAGCATTCAATTATTTCAGGACTGCCCATTTCATCAGGATCAAGATCATGTGTCTCAGTTTCTCACTTCTGAGCATCTCTCACTGCCCAGTATAGACAATATTATTCAGTTAATTGACACCTTCTCACTATGTCTATATGAATTGCAGGGCGCTATATTATTTTCATTATCATCAGTAATGGCCTTCCGGTATTTTACAACTATTGTGCTTTTTACGTTTTTCAGTGTAGAAAGAAAATAAACAGAACCTCTGTTTTACAGAAAATAAATATGCGCCCTTTGGTTTTGACACTTGAGGGAAGAGGTTGTTCAGTCCTAAAGTTTTCTTCAAATATGAACAATTTATGATTACATTCATAATGTGACTGTCAGAAGATTCTCTCAATCAGCACTTACTATGCACACACTTACAAGTTCCAGACTGTATGAAATCAATGCAAAATAAATAAATAAACCAAAAGCTTGCACCAACATAGCCTAGACCAATTATCTGTCAGCAAAACAGTTATAACTTGACATGGCATACCTTTACAGTTATGAAACAGTCTTCCACAATGCCTTTGTCTATCTACCGACCTTGCCTACTTGTTTACTTTGAAAGCCACTGCAGAATCCCTTAAAAGGGATGATAACAAATAACACAGCAGTTAGAAAACAGCAAAAACAAACAGCAACAACAACAACAACAAAAGTGTGTCTGGTCCTGCTAAAATTGATTATAACCAAAAGGTACATAGAATGTAGCTTCAACAGATGTATGTGATGAACTTGTTCAGAAGTTTCATATGACCAATATATTGAAAAAGTTGAAATGTATCTGTTATCTGAGAGACAATTTTTTTTTTTCTGGCTGAAATTCACACATTGTGATCTGGCATGGATTTATGTTTTGTGCCAGCAAATAATGACTATACAAAATACCACTTGCAAAGACACAGGGGCAATAATGTAAAATAAATCAGATATCCTGAATATTAGAAGCAATAACAATTTGATGAAGTTCGTAGGAGTTAGAAACCTCAAAACCTCCAATATTTGAATACAATGCGATTTTCAGATTCATCTACCTGTTCTGCTGTGTGTGACAAGGAGCCCTGCTGTGCACTCCAGAAAGGCCAGGGAGAGATTAGAAATTTCCATACAAGACAGAAGGTGGGGAAATGTATTGTTTATACAGCTCACCTCTTAAGACAAAACTGATAAAAACTACAGTGTGCATTCCAGCTGAATCCTACAAGATATTTATTGGCAGAGAGTTGCCCTTTTCAAAATAGAATTAAACCATGCACACATTCACAAATTCTCTTTTCATGCTAACTCTAGGGGAAATTGTACAGCAATCCACCTGTGGGTTACTGAACACACAAAGCTATATTCAACCCAACAGTGTCTCTAAACCTAAACATAGCTGGTAGCTGAGAAACTGTGCTTACTCTGTTCTTACTTCTCCTTAGGCATTCACTTACTGCCTCTTTTGGAGATGAGATATCAAAGGAATCTTTAGTCCAACCCAACATAGCTGTTTTTATGCTTCCAAATGTATTTTGTTTTCTTAACTGCAATGAAAAGCAGCAGTTAGAAGCAGCAGAATCTTATTAACTCCATATCAACTGTTGTGAAGTTCAGGCTATATCTATTTACTGGGAGAATAAATATTTGAAACTAGCTGGCTGCCTTTCTGATGCTTGCAACAAAAGCAATACTAAATAAAGCATTTTGTGCTGTTGAGGTGGCACTTCTGATGAGGGTCTTCACTGTGCAGGATCATCCAGAAGTAGAAGAACCTCAGTATGAAGTTGCATCCTAGCAGCTTGATGGACAGTGGCTCACGCATTCCTGTCTCACTGAACTAAATCAATTCTGGAGAATATGCAGAAGACAGACAATATAGCCACCGACTTCAAATAACAACTTTTTTTTGTTGTTGTTCAATCAGCATTTTTTCATTTATACGCCTCTAGTATTTGGCTAATTTTTATTGCCAAATCACATAATTCTCCATTGGTAAGAATCAAAGCAGCACTTGAGCAGGACAGTTCTGAAACAGATTGCATGATATTGGGGGAAAACTAAAAAGATTTCCTCTCCACCTACTCAGTGCCTGCTCAGCCAGAAAGTTCACACTGG